GGAAAACAATATCAAAACTTCTTATAAAGAAGAGAAAAAAACATTTATTAAACTTTTTACAATAAAACTTAGTTACACGATAAAAAGTTGGAACAACTGAACACAATGAAAGTTTAAAGAATTTAGAGGAGAAAAGTAGAAAAATTAGGCCTCAAAGACCATTATTAAAAACTACTCTGATTATCTCTTTCCGTCCGGCAAGGCAACGTTGTAGGAACGTTGTCATTTTAGTGGCAACGTTTCCTGAGAAAGTTTTGGCAATATTGTTACAACGTTATTTTGGTCGCAGAAATCACAACATTTTCTGGCGACATTACCCTGGTAAAAATTGGCAGTAGAATCTGTGTTCCAAAATACCATAGACCTACAGCCGGCTGTAAGATTTCCAAGAGCTTCTGTAGCCGGATGTACAATTTCTTATAGCCTTTTATAGCCGATGGCGATTAAGGAACAGCCAGACGATTAAGTTTATACTAAACGTTACTAAATACGGATACTAGGACTTCGTTAGTTTTTGGACTACCGCTCTCTTTTTGGGCCGTAGTATCTTGATTTGTTTTGCGAGAAAAGCTCCGTACTTTTGAAGGATGCCTGCCATTCCTAATATGTTGGAGCGCCTTCAATTTCGTACGTTACTGTGCAATACCTCTGGTGTGAAATAGTTGCTTCAGATGCCGTGGTACGCTGCGCGCGGCGCGGCGGGCGGACAAAATGCGCGAAACGCGCATTGGCGCCTACAAACCCAACAGGGATACTTCACGCATTGCGCAATGCGTGAAGTATCCCTGTTAGGTTTGTAGGCGCCAGTGCGCCGCTGTTCCGCTTTGTGTTAGGCTCTAATATTTAATCTCGTGGAGTCAGTGTTTTTCACCTCATGACTTTGAAATGTTTGCACACTCTGTATGGATTATTCTCATTTTAATTGATGAAAAAAGATATTAAGGATTTACAAAGCACACGAATTTCTACACAATTTCTTGTAGCCGATGGCAAAAAAGCAACCGCCAGGCGATGAAGTGTAAAGCCCGGCGATAGAAACTATAGCCCGGCTGTATAATTTTTTATCGCTTCGTGTAGCCCGGCCGTATGATTTTTTCCACTTTCTACAGCCAGCTATATGATTTTCTATCGCCTTCTTCAGTCGGCTATAAGAACTCATATGGTATTTTGAAACGCAGCTCCTATCGCCAATTTTTACCAGGGTATGGCAATGTTTCATTCAGCAATGTTCTCATCTCATTGTTATGAAACATTTCGGGTATCTTTCTCGGAGGTCACTCATTATTATGACCAAAATTATGATTAATAATAGTTTTAAATTGATACATCTGATAAGTACTCACGAAATAATCAATAAATTACGTACCTAGCGGTATCACTTGACGTTTGATCCGATTCTGACTTGCAAATTTTTGGTCTACTTTCGTGGGACCTGAACCATATGGATCTGTCGTTTGACATACCCTAACGTCCAACATGTTGCCAATTCTCTCTGTTACAGCAGTTTTATAAATGACAAGGTAATGAAGGTACAGTATATACACAAAGTAATAAAATGGTAATAAAAATAATAGGACTTCAAGAAGTAATTTTCCTCCCGGACTAGGTGAAATCAGTGTAATTATTGCACATTACAGATAAAAATATCACGGCTAAAATCAAAATCTCACTGATAACTATGATATGATTGCAAATTATTTAAGAGACAATAAAGTGTAAATGGAAGATTACATGAATTGTAATTGATTGACAGTTGTATACTTGGCCGAGGAGCCTTAAAATTCAATTAAAACTGGAATCTCAGAATGAAGAAAAAAGGCTCATTCGAGCACAAATTTGCCTTCAAAGAGCTATGCTGTTTAAAGCAGTACCAATTACGACCAAGCAGGAAAGTAACTGTAGAAGCGTTCTGGAACTATATCTATGTCTAAATTGCAAAAGCACGTATCTCCATTGCGGTGTTTTAAAATGTCCGCTCCTTTTTTTTTTTCTTCTTTTTTTTACCGAAATGGAAAATTTGTGTTTGAAAGAGCTTTTCCGCTCTTCACTCAGAATCACAGTTTTATAATGAATTTTAACGAGAGTTAAGAAAATCACTAACTCTCCGTCAAAGGGTGGATTTTTCCCCTGATCGGGTGTCCAGCAAATCTTTTGGACATCCATCATAAAGCAGGAAAAGGAAGAAAAAAAATCTACCCCTAAACGACTCGCGTTTCGGACCGCAATATGTTCATTGTAAATACTATGAACTCGAACGGTTTTTCTATACTTTTGAACCATCGAACTAACTTCATCAGTTTCATTATTTCTAATGACCCATAAGACGCAAGTTCCGACGAGTGATTCATCTCTCTCTTCAACTTTATACGCTTACTTCATAATTTGGTGATTTTTTAGGCTGAAGCGCTTATTTTGAGACTTTTGTGCTCTTATCGACCGATTTTAATAGAGTATTTTCAAGTGCGTCAGTCAATTTATGACGCAATTCATCTCGATAAATCTTATCATTATACTTAGGCGTCCCTGTGATTATACGAAGATTTGGGAGCTATGGAAGAGGTCCGCGGGAAACTACATCGCACGGTATAAAATCATTTACAATATTTAGAAGATTATTAAAGATAAAGGCAAAGAATGGAATCTAAGATCCTCAGTCGGAATTAAATGTATTTACAAAAGCTTTAAAATATAATTATTAAAGATTCTATGATTGTAATCAGTCCGCACTGTTCCGCTGTGTTCCCAAGTAGCACAGCGCGATGAAAATATTGAAATAAAATTGCAATAAAGTTTTACATCGTTTAGCCGATAAATGCATATTTTAAACGATCGATACGATGAGTTCCATACATCAAAGAGGTAATTTGCGATGCAAAAAAAATTGCAACTTTTTTCAATTTCATTGCAATTTATTTCGACAAGAGGTGCCCCTTCGATGAGTAGAAAGGCAACACACACAACTTTTTGATGCAGTGGCAATAATTTTACTGTGTAATTTCAATTAATTGCAATCCATGCAAAGATAAACATTCCCGTGTTTGATGTCACTCTGCGTTACGTTGTGTTACTTTTTTTTGTGTCAGGTCGGCCTGAAGGACTTGCTTGCTCAACACTGTTTTATGTCTGATCGACCCCAACCGTAGGCTATTCTGAAACATTAATTGCGATGTATCGATTGTTATGCCATTTAAACCTATGATAAAGAATCGATTATTAAGGTGTTCGCTGCGAAAACCCTGTTTATCGATACTTTTCCATTGGTTTAAATGGCCGATCAATCTATTTATCGCAAAGCACGCCACGCCACTGGTACTCTTGTTTTCCTCCCAACACTCACAATCAGAAGCCGCGATTTGCGAATGGCTAGCGCGTTGGATCTTCGCCGATGCGATCCAGATACGATCCTGGAAGCCGACACTAAATTTTGACACATTCGCAGGTTTTCAACACAAAGATTTGGTCAATTTGACACAGAAAAAACTAACACAAAATAAAAATAAAAAAACCAACCAACAGCTTAAGTTACTTCGTGTTCTACTTCCTATATTAAATGCAAGATTTGTGTTACTTTTCCTTCCTGTGTGCTACTTGGGTTGTGATAAAATCTGAAGTCCCTTTATACCCAGAGTTACGACATCTCACTTGTGGTCGGGCTCGGTTGGGCTGAAAGTGGCCTAAGAAATCCCTTTAAAATATTGATTTTAGGTCGGGCAAGATGTCACACCAAGAATCGATCGTTTTACTACACTTAAGGGGAAGAAAATCAGTGTTGCCAATTTTCAAAAATCTCCACTGTCTCTTACGGATAGCTAGAGGTCGTTTTAAGCATTTTCTCAATACTGAAAGACTGTTGAAGGCGTGCTCGTGAGTACAAGAGGTATCTTCAGCGTGGCTCGTGATTTTACACAGTTGATATTTGGCACTTCTTGCAAAGAATTTTTTTCACATAATTGGACTCAAGTAGATCTCCATGGCACACCCTTTCCTGTAAGCTTAAATTCAAAGTGGATTACATTTCAATCACCGGCACCACCCTTTCCTTAAGCCATGATTCCCTCTAAATCGGCTCAGCGACGTCACGCAGTGCCGTGCGGCATCAGTTGCCATTTGATTGCTTGTAATGTATCGAACGCCACTCGGCGCGGTGCTATCTGGGCCTGGATTGTTAAATCGTTATCGAATGTCCTTGACAGATACATAGCATTGCAAAAATAGGGAGTTATCGATCAATATCATTCGATAACGATTCAAGAATCGACCTACTGCATCTATGCGCTGCTAAAATCTACCATGAAGAGTATAGCTTAGGTATAATTCTAGAACTGAAACAGTTCTTTAGAGTTTTGGCAAAATAATTCTATTTCATGGGCATTTTAAAAAAAGCATAGGCGGATCCAGACACTTGAAACGGGGAGGCGTAGGGGGGGGGGGGGGNGGGGGCTCCCCCCCCAAACTTTTCAAAATTTTAATGCATCTAATACGCAGTTTGAGTCAATTTCGTCGTGAATAATTATACCAAATAAGCGCCCTGCCCTCTACTTTTCTCCGTTCCTACCTCCTTCCTTCTACCCCTTTTTCTTTCTCCTTGTTCTCGGGCGAAGGTGTGGGGGGGGGGGGGTGNGGGGGGGGGGGGGGGGCTGACACCCCCTACGCCCCACTGGAAAAAAACACATTAGATCTAGAGTCCAGACTATTGAAAACATCGACAAGAAAAAATACTCTTGATTCAATCGGATTTTTGCTTAAATCAAGAACCAAGCCAGTGGCGTGGCGTGAATTGCGATGTATCGATTGTTATGCCATTTAAACCTATTGTAAAGAATCGATTATCAAGGTGTTCGCTGCGAACACCTTGTTAATCGATTCCTTTCCGTAGGTTTAAATGGCAGATCTATCGATATATCGCAAAGCACGCCACGCCACTGAACCAAGCCTCTTGATTTGAGCGGATTTCCTTTGGATTCAAGCAAAAATCTGATTGAATCAAGAGTATTTTTTCTTGTCAATGTTTCCAGTAGCCTGGACTCTAGATCCAATGTGTTTTTTTCCAGTGCCCCCTTCCGGATCCGTCTACGAGAAAAAAGGCCGGATTTTGCAAATTTGCCGATACTTAGGTAAGTTGACCCATGTCTGGACCATTTGAATGTGCGAGTGTTCAGAAGGAGGGGTTACAAGACGTGGAGATTTTCGCATGATTTGGATTTACTATCCTTGAGGCAAATTCGATGGAAAATATCCCGTGCTATGTTGAATGTGAGCGAAGCTCTGGAGCCGTGGGAGAGGACCTTTTTCTGTTGCTTCCTCTCTCTCGTCTCCCTGAGTCGAATTTGCTTGAGGATTCCGACCAAGAGCTCGTCGACGTTGTGCTGGATCCCGCTTGAGGTCTCGATGAATTTGCAACCTCGAGATGCGGCCAGTGCTTTTCCCTCTGTGCAAAAATGAACAAATGAAAATTAAAAGAAAAGATAAAGAGAAATAAGGCTGGCAGTATATCCGTTGAAACATACCTAGTTATTGTTAGAGTGCCTCTATAGACAGAGTATGGCCATTTCTGTGCCAGTTTTATCCTTTAAAAAAATAGGATAGAGATTTTAACACCGCAAAAAAATATAGTGTTTTCGGAGTTTCAACATCGATGGACGATATGCTCTTTGATGTTTTCTTTTGAGGTCTGAATATAGGGTGAGCCACGGTAAAACGGCGAGACTGCAGGAGCCGAAACACCCCTAAACCCCCTCTTTAAATTGTGATTTCCTTTTTCTTTTTTCTTTTTTTGGTACATAACTTATGAATTTAGGGCATAGAAGTACAGGGTAGTGCAAATTTTCATGAGATTTGGTTCACAACCGTTGCCAAAATTCAGGAAAAACGAATTACCTTCCGAATTTTTTCTGGGGGGGAGGCTGTAGCTTTGATTGGGGGCAATTTGGAAAAAACCTTTATACGACAAAAAAGTCTTACTTGGACCTATAGAACACGCTTCTGCAGACTGGCCTCTTAACCCCGGATCACCCTGTATAAGTTGGTACAATGAAAGTAAAACTAACCGATTTTGAAATTTTTGTAAAACTTTTTCTTACCGATTTTTCTACAAGAATTTAGAAAAATTGGTAAGAAAAATTTTTACAAAAATTTCAAAATTTGATAAAGTATGGCCGATAAAGTTAACAACAGAAGTGATAAAACTAACCGCTTGCAGAGATGACCCTAGCACGGGCGAGATCTGCTTTATTGCCGACTACTATAACAGACTTTTCTTGTGTAAAATTCTCTCTCCATAAGTAATTGAGGATTTCCTCTGCAGCCTTTAGAGACGACCTATTCACGATTGAATAAACTACAACGCAGGCATGCGGCTCGTACGTGGATAATGAATTCTCCACCTGAAACAAAACCAACAAATTCTATGAAATTTGCCCAAAAAAATTGTAAACAAGATTCAAAGTAACAAATTATAAAATTTATCGTCGAGTTCGACGTTTTGCGAGATAGCTCTAAATGTCGGGCCGTTGAATAAAGCTCAGGACGCGAATGGAAAAACCAACGAGTAGAAGAAAATACGCTCACTTCTTTAGGAGTAGATAGATGTATTAACCCCTGAAGTCGACGTATCTCGACGTTAAATTCTCAAACCACGTATCTGGTTTGTTCTGGTGTTTAAAAATCTCACTCCAATTTTTTTAAGGCAAAATAAATCAACATTGCCCCTTAAAGTTTTTTCAGAATTTTCTTTGGAAAGAGAAAAAAAATCATGTTATTGAGAATTGACGCTCAGTAGTTCTTCCATTGTGTAACGTACGCGTTACGACGCAAAACGCTTGAGGCGCGAAGCGCTCACGATGGTTACACCGCGAAGCGGTCGGGGGCTTACCCTCTGGTAGTAAATCAAATTGTCGAGCTACTATATGTAATTCCCAAATAGTTAAGGGAATGAAAATCTTACAGCCTTGTTAGAGCAAAGCGTCTGAATGTGTGTTTTTCGGGTAGATAACTATTCGCGCTCTCCGGTAGGATTGTTGCCTATGCGGCAAAATTGAAGGCGAAATTCTAATCGGTGACAACTGCCAGTAGGTTCATCATTTATCGGTTCAATCGAGTCATTGACAAAGCTCGGTAAAATAAATGATAAATTGAGTATCAGGTTGGGATTGAGTTAAAAGTTCGGCTCTTCTCTGAAAGTTTATCGTCCTCCCGAAAGTTCTGCGCCTCTTTTGATGTAGTTACTCATCAGAGCAAGTTGCATTCCGGAGACCACCTGCCTGCTCGTGTCGGGTCTGACGCATCCGAAAAGTCAATTTAGGTGACGGAGGTCACCCCCTTCCCCCGCGTTTACGCTGGGGTTGGTGCCACTTTCATGTTGGGCCTCCCTCTGCCTGCTTTGATAACGTGTATTTCCGCGAATGGATTTGGTCGAATTTTTCGACCATCGGTTTCCACGTAGAACCTATTTTAAGTGGCGGATCCAAAGTG